CTGCATGGTCACTATAACACCCTTAAACTATTCAAGATTCAGTGACGTATTAACCTGTTACAGAATACATGGTACTAAAGTAGTATATCGATAGATTGATCAGGCATGGTTCTTAATAAGTCAAAGGTCTAATTCCACGTTGTTTTCACTAATTGACAGACAAATATATCACCATGTCAGAATGCCTGTTTCTTACAGAGAAAATATTATTAATTAATGATCATGGTCGACCAACAGTTGGTGCTAGTATGTCTATTATTTCAAAAACTTATCGTTTGATCTCGTTCCCGTTGTTGTGTGTTGAGGTATGTATGCTTATGATGCTGGCACACGAGAGGTCTTGGTTGTCGATTTTTGTTGTCGGCTAGATTCTTTTCATGAGTTTCGCCGACCGGCTGCATGTATACACGAAGCGACAAAAACCTCTAGTAGGTCGTTTTCCACGCTGTCGATAATTACATGCGGATCATGCAATTGAAAGGAAAATAATCTGATTGATCGTCTTGCAGACGAGGAAACAATAGGCGACAAATATCACATATTATAAATCCTGTCGGAAACGCGATAATCGTGTCGTGGAAGAGCAGGCAAAGGTGAGATTTTTTCAAACATTGGCGACCAAGACCGTTCATGTGCCCGCACCCCCAATCTCAGATGCAATTAACGAGATAACTTATATACTAATCTCAGATCAACAACCTAAGAAAGGAACTAAGGAACAAATCACGACTTAATCGATATCGTTCTTTCCTTTTAGTGTAATTTGAATAAACCAATGCTTGAAATAAGAATCTATCTAAACTATTGTGTAACTGTTATCTTCGGAAGTTTCTGTTGGTTTGAATTTAAAGTTCAAAGCTACAGGAAGGAAATATATAGATAGTAAAAATTAATATGTTACAGGATATACCGGTTTCAATTCAAAGTATTTACCGGAGAAAGACTATTCAAATAATAATGATATAATGTTATATTTAACAGACTTTGCTGTTACCAAAGCAACATATCAGCTCAAGTAAGATCTTTGACAATAACACAGATCATATGATATTAATATTACACAGGCTATGTAGGTTTTAATGAATCAGTTTGAAACTACCAATAAATAGTTTATCTTATCTCCCCTATTGAAACAATGTCTTATGTCATACAGGAGATCATCAAATATCTCGGATATCCCGACTAAGGATTGGTCTCTTTCTGAATCTTACAAATATTTCCGTTTCGTCAGATTTCTTCTCCAACCAGTGACTAACTGCACGTTAATTTGACGAAAATTCCACAAATCTTTTCGCCTTGTCTGACGTTAGATTTTATACGATATATATAATTTACAGCATTGTGCAGTAACTTACACAAGATAAACCAAATGAAATGCCTAGAGCTGTATTTTAATCAGAGGCAATCCAATTTGAAGTTAAATGATACATAGATAACCTACCCAGTTGATACCCAATATCTGTTTTATCCCACGAGTTCACTTTTGTTATTTGTCTAACCTTTAAGTGATGTAAATAACATTAATCCATTGCTTTAGTTACCAAATATCAAATAACTATGAATGTTAGTTTCTGTAACTATGCAGAAGATAAGGAGTGAGTGATAATGTATTGTATGCATGCATGTCGTCAAAGGTTGTGAATCGTGTAATATAATATTATAATTTAATATGCAGTGTTAATCACTCACAATCCTAATACTTGGAATAATCGTTTTCTCCGGATTCTGCAAAGTAAAGATTCTTCAAAAGTCAGATACGGTGTACGGTGCGGGATTATCCATGCAAAATGTGGAAGAAATGATTACAGGTACGGGTCCTGGCAGGATGTGGACCGGAATAGCTTTTTTTTTTTCAAATTGTTTCGATTAGCCCTCCAACGAACGTCGATCAACAATGTACCTCTTATATTCCAAACTTTACACGTCTTCATCAGGACATAGCAAGGTATTATAATATCGTAGCCTTTCGGAACTATCGTAATAACAACCTCTGAATGTAAGGCAATGTTATTTAATTGATATAATCAATAAAATCTATCGACCAACCAGTGATGACTTATTTTTAAGACGTTTCTGAATTCCATTTACTTGTATTTGACCATCCTTCATTCGGATGTAAAGAAGGATTATATACGAATATCTGGAAATATATTTGGAATGAGTATACTGCGTGGTAAATAACGGATACCGAGCCAAACAAAATGCCAAATTAGAAAGATCACCTTGAGTTGATTGGTTTTAATAATAACACGGCCGAGATGATTTATCCTATTAAAAATATAATGTAAATAATTTTAGCCACATGTTTATAAAATTAAAAGTAAACAAACGGTTTACGTCAGGTAGAAAACATGTCTCTAATAAACAAACTTCAAGTTAGATTGTTTGTTCTGGGGTTATGGTAAAAGGATTACAGCCGTATTTCAAGACTTATGATATGATTTGTATTTGCAACTTTACTTAACATGTTTTCATACAATATAGCAGTGGGTAGTTTCCAACAATCTGTTGCATGTGGAACTTATGGTGTTCTTTGTAGTCTCTGTGGTTATTTTTAACTATTCCATCCAAATTACTTTATTATTAGGAAGTACTGTCCACCGACTTGTGTTTTCCACGAATACTTAGTAATAAAAGTATAAAAATATGCTTTATGACTATAGGGAATTACTTTACAACATTCTGATCCGATGAACTCAGGCATTATACATCGAATGATATATCATCTTGCTGTACTGGATACATTTTGTGTTCGCAGTTTCATAGGGTCAGAATATGACCTGAGGACGACGGGGGAAACACGTCGAAACGTTGCATAAAACTTTAACCAGTGATAGTTGTTCCATAAAGCTGTGTCTATATATCGTACTCACTATTGCTAAATGCCATTCAAAGACAATATGAACTATGTTTTAGGACTATGCCTCACCCCTTTGCCTGCTCTCGGCGTTCAATTGTCCTGTAGTAGGACGCAGAAGGGCTAACCAAGGGTGTATATCTTTTATGCTAGCTGGTACAAAGAAATGGGGCACATAACACTATAATAAAATAAAAAGTTGAAGAAATAACGATGGTGTAATATAACAGAATGTTTAGGTTTTTTAGAGTATTGTTTACAGGAATAGATGAGTTTACCATCTTAGTTCATAGTAATTTATAAATATCCTTACTATCCTCTCATATCATACACTCTAGAATAGTAGCCTACGCTGGTGGTAGATGTGCCAAACTGCCAACTGTACATCATATACTGTTTCATACTGAGTAGCGACTGGTCGAAATATAATCAGATCTTAACAGGATATCACTTCGATATTGGACAAAACATCACCTTCGTCGATCATCCGATAATAAGATTCATTATCAGATGTTCCAACAAAGCATGTGGTGATTTTCATTCGATATTGCTAGGGTGTATGCTCTCCAAAACGGTTTACGGTTGGTCGTAAAAACTTACCCCTTTAAAACCTGTTATCTATCCACCTTTACGATATAGGTTGACAGTTGGCAGATCTACCACACCAAACTTACACCAAATAAGAATTGTTTTAGCCATAGTCATTACTATACACACCTTACAGTAGTAAGAATGTTAGATAAGGCGAAGATGAACCCACGAAAACCAAAACATCATCTTATTTAGCTTAACTATGTCACCTGATTTGAAATGTACAATACAAGACATTTTGTCTACAATATTGTGAGATTCTTTAGCTGTTAATGGTTTGGAAGGGAAACGCGAATTTAAAAAAAATAATAATAAAAATCGTGGACCAAAGAACCAATAGATGAACTAAGTGTTCTTAAAAAACATTAATATTGGTCAATGATGAGGTTTCTTTGAATAACAATTTGTTTTTTAATTTTCGTGAATTATCGAAATATATTTTGATATAATGAGGTGAAGAAATGCGTTCGACACTAAAACCAAGAATTGTGCCAGGACGCAAAAACAGGTGTAGATATCTCATCAAAAATAGTGTAGATCTAAAAGAATATAAATAGGTCACCTATTTCTACAGACGTTAATTGAATAAAGCACCTGTCCAAAATTTACACATTCACTAGGACCTCAAAGAAAGTGTTCTACCCTTATAAACATGGTTAGTGAAACATATTTGAAATAATGTATCTGATAACCATGATGTAATTAGCAACACATATTCCTAAACTGATAAAAGTTATTCCTTTTTAGTAGCACCGTATCCCTAAGTATGAATAAAATCCCGTCCTGAACATACTCATTACACTATACAATAAAAAATATTGAAGAATGTATAAGTGTACATACTGTACACAAGTATTGTAAGGAACATCATCAACTTCAGAATGTAATAACTAAATAACGTTTAGATAAGTCAATATGATTACTGTTGCCTTAATGCACATTGAAAAGGTTATTTTGATAGAATTATCTTCAGTTATGATGTTTCTGACAAGAACTCATTTTATCCTTCTATATATGGCCACAGTATCCTAAAGTAATGGTGTTTTTACCCCATTTAAGGCCTCCTGAACACGCAATATATCGTGTTCTTAAATCTTATAATCCTTTCTATATACAATTAGCTTTACATTTCAACCTTAAAAACCATTATATCTCACACAAACACTGTTATCCTTGGCTTATTATTCCATACTTAAACACATTGACAGTCTGATTATAACAAATAGCACTTTTTACACGTCCACTTAGAAAGTAGGTCAGAAGCGATTATATTTGATCACAAGCTTAATAAGATTACATTGAATCTTTTGAATGAGAAGAAAATAGTCTTTATATCACATAATATATTCATAATATTATTAATAACATCCTGTTTTTATGCACCAAATATTATGAATAACGTTTCACAAGGTCATAATTTTTCCGAACGTGACGTCGAATCTTCGGATATTTCCGAACTTTCACTTCGCCGGATTTCTAATTTGTCTGTCATCATATCGGAAAGTTCATTTGCGGACACACTTTTAGGCCGAGCGAGCATTTTAGGCGGCTCTAACTTGGTTACATGCACAAAACAACATGGTTGAGATATGTCCGAACGTTTTGGGGGTTTAAATTTCGGTTTCTTTTCTTTCTTTTCCTTCTTCTTTTTCTTCTTTTTACTCAAGGCTAGTAATTCGTCATCCGGGTTTTCCATAATGGATTGAATAAAGGTATAGAATTCCGAAGCAGCATTCGTGTCGTCAAAGCTTAATCCGGCTAATTTAGAATGATCCTTAGACACGTGCATTGTATGAAAGTTGGCACTTGGACTGGAATATTTGGTCAAGTGATCTATCGTGTCCTTCCACAGTGTAAATCCAGTACCTTTCTCGGCAAGAATAAAGGTTAATCTCCTATGACGATGATGTTCCCCAGTGTCTAACACAAGGAGAGGAATTCCGGTATTCACAAAATCCCACTTTTCAACGTTGTCCACTTTCTTCTCCGATCCGAAATACAGATTAGCTAAACACTTTCCAACCGTCACTTCAGTTTTATGACTTCTATAAAACATTTCCACTTGGAGTAAATCTTGTTCCTGAACACCGTCAGCGAAAATATTTCCATGTAAGGCCGATCCGGGCCAGGAAAGTTCGCTAGAACCGTCTGACATAACTGAACCATTGACTATCATATTAGACTGGCTAGCGAGAGAAAGGTTTGTATCAGAGGTATATATAACGGGACTAGTCGGTTGAAGAGTTTGTGTAGAATATAAAGGTATACCAGTATTAAAACCACCGCTGGTTGGTTGAGTCACAAGATTACCTGGCGAGTCATATTTTCCTGTGATACGTCGTACACCTTCCTCTTTACTAATCCTTTCATCTCCTTTTAAATCACTTTTTGAACTATACACTGACTTTTTATCTTCATTCTTGTTGTTTAGTTTAATAGAAGGCTTCTTACTCACCGCTGGGGGTTTATCAAAGTCTAGTTGTCCACAAAATACGGAAGAATATCCACCCTTGCTCATATTTTAAATTTAACTTCATAATTTTCACACGAGAACAATATAGTACGTGTTGATGTTTACAGGTGATAAAGTCATTAATAAAAGATGGGTTTTAAAACAATAGAAGTTCTTTATCAAAGTTTCACCCAGTCAACTATTTCATGTATTTCCCACTGTACAGTATAATGGTTTCTATATGATGATAAACCACAGTTGATCTGGAATTTCCATATAGCAATTAAATTCAATCTACCATACACTTTTTATTATTCGACTGAACAGTTTCTGTTGACAAACAAGTTCTTGTGTTTTATGTCCGAATAAGATTCACCAAATAACCATAAAATTTCACAGCTTTCAAAATCAAGTTGTCAGAACCTGCAATACATAAAAACAGACCAAGTTAAATTCAGTCTCAATCTGAGAGCCAACTAATGTCTTTGATTCGAATCAATACCTCTGTAGAGCCTGGTTTGTGTCGACTCTCAATGATGAGACACACAGAGGGTCCACTGCCTGCTGTGTATGTCAGCGTTTTTTCATACCTTTTAGATTAGAATAGAATGGCATAACACAAAGCAGACGTGGGTATTAAAAGGTGCGTATTTCATAGTATTAATTATTGAGCCTTCAGGCAATATAAATTGTTGAAATACTGTATGTAATCAAATTCAACATAATATTATTAGTATCAGATAAAGCCCATCACAAATCTGTGGTAGTTTTTCTAAATCTAAATAACTTGAGACCATAAGAACTTATATTTGTTCACCTCAATCTATAATTTGAACTTGGTGATCAAATGAAATGAAAAGTAAACAAAACTGTGAGTTTATGAAGACCCTAATGTCAGCTCTGATAGATTCAATTTCAATCAACATCAAAGAAGGTAATAGATATCTGGTATTGTCCAACATTTCATCCTAATGGGGTAACATGAAGTATGATTGGATGTCTTTGCTTTAAGGTCTGTTTAAGATCAACATGGCGTTAAAAAGTTTCAAAAGATGATGTATGTTATTGTAGAGATACCAGCATTAGACTCTCTCAATTAGTAATATGCCATCACTGAATACCCCCTTGCGACCCTATGTAACTCTATAATAAAGGTTTTTTACCAAGTTTAATAACTAAAAACTGCGTGATTTCCAGTGACGCTAGAGCTTTCGACAGATCTCACTGAATATACATGCAGTGCTAATATGGTTAAAATTGACCGTAAAAAATCCAAATAAAATAGAGTTTATCAATGCAAAACATTTTACCCATTTCAAATTCTGAGTTTGTACTGACGTATCTCAAGGCTATCAGAAACTAAGTTAATGACAATTTCAAATATTCACAAAATTAATTTACCGTGAAAAATACATTTCCTTCTGTTAACCTAGTCACCAAATTGTTATCTATTAGATTACTGATGTGAACAGACGATGTGACTGGACAAAAAATGTTTTAAAAATTTCAAAAGTGGAAAATCAGGTTTGAGAAAGAGCGCGGTGTAGTCTATAAAATTAAAGCTCGAAATTATACCTCAGGTATATATGTAAGTTCAAGGTTTTTGTTTGTGAGTAAAAGATTATGTTGACCTAACAAACAGTTAGTCGTCATCGTAATTTACATATTCAACATACTTAGTCCCTTACTCGTCGCTTTACTTACTTTATCGTTATGTAATAGTCGAATTGTCGTCTGCTAAACGATTAATTGTCGTTATCCCCAATTAGCCTACCCCAAACTATAAATATAAGGTCACAACACTAATATCATGTTATATCAGTAGGGTAATAGATTTATAAGTCATATTTTAGGATTGATGCCAATGGTATATCTATTTCAAATAATCCATTGCTTTCAATGACTTGTATTAACACACCATAGCACCAATATCATAATTATAAATTGTTCGACATATCGATACAATATCATCGTCAATATTAACTAATATTAAACCTAAACCTTACCATGTTGAAACGAATTTTAAAAGTGACATCCACAAGTTCCACAGCGAGAAACAATAGTAGTCTAACCAAGTAAAAAACTATAAATGTCCAGGTTTAAAATCTATGGACTAGGATATACTAGTGAGTGGGTGTGATATTAACATGTAAACATTGATGAATTAGATTAGCACACAATGGTATACATTTATGATATACACGTAGAATATCCTGCTTTCTGGTCAAACAGGGTCACACCAGGTCAATAGTATCACCCAGGGGATGTTGACATCAACAATTCGAATTATTTAAATATCATAAATATTTGATTATTATTGTTGTATTGTCCATTAATTATTGTCCAGTAAACAAACCTTGGTAAAGTCAAACAAGCGTGAAATTTCTTCAGTGGGCTGAATTATCTCTCTGAACTGTCTACAACCTGCTGTGTGTTCTCTGATCTCATCATCGACATGACATACCAACGACTATAATATTAATATCTACAGAAATATTTCTGTATTTACCAACGGAAATATCATCAGAAATGAATGACGTTTGTGACCACATGAACTTCAGCTATCTTTTCCCTTCCGAAGCTATCAAGGCCTTCAACTCAATATTTCCCTCCCAAGCTATCAAGGCCTTCAAGTCAGAAACCAATGTACCATGATAACTGTCAATTGTTGCAATGAGCATATTATATCAACTGAATCATAATCATTATATTCTACGATTAAAAGTCAATATTTGAATATTCCATTATAGAGAGTAAATATTTCAGATATTCAATTATATCACACCCTGTACGTTAATATCATAAAATTATATTAGTGTTATTTGTCTGGCTGGTACACTGGAAGCACTACGACCACTAACAATCGATAAACAGACAGTCTTTCTGAGCTCTCTGCATGCAGAGACATGTGACATGATGAGTCCACCACAGTAATTGCTGTGGTCCATCTCAAACCATGCAACGATTCACTGTTTAATGTTTGTGCATTAAAATGCAAATTACTCTAATCTGTTTATCATCCAAAAAATGTCATAAATAGCCTGTATCAACTCAAGCTAAATGGGGATCTTAGGAGTCATATCGTGTCAAAAATCCCAGGTCAGTTAGTCAATAAGAGAAGATTATTTCCAAAAGCGATTTGATGAAATTCCATTCCAGAACATTTAAATCAAAAACAGAATACCCCTCAAAATATTCAACTGTTCTTACCTGTCTAAATGAAATTAGGCATTATTGACGTCCTGTCATATTGCACGCACCTTGTTGATTGTCATGTAGGTACAGTAACCCTGTGTAACCTATATAACACTAATAATAATTCATATACCTTAATATCCATTCACAATATACAATACTAGAAATACCTTTAAAGGGACATAATCTGATAAATACATAACTGTAATTGAATCAAATTCACTCATCCGTATTGCTTTTCAAAATTAGATTTTATATTTAAGTTATTCATAGTAATTCACATTAAATTATTTTGTTGAGGTGACTTTTCAATCTGGAGCTTCCATTACATTTATGTTAAATGTCATGAGGAAACGTCTGGAGGGAAAAATATGAATTGTCCAGTCGTCATAGATTACGCCAATGTTCTTTGATTTAATTGTATACACCCACTTTTCATGTATAATTTTGAAAGTGTTACGATTATAGCGAATCCGATATGGAAGTCGAGGTCCATCCGATGTGAAAGCGACACTACCCCTTTAACCTATATGACAATCAATATAAGTCTAATATATAATCAATCTTGTTTATGACATTCTATACCATTCACATCTATTTTAATGTGGGAGTTAAAAAAAAACTTTATGATCGACATTTCCAGCTCTTTATTTTTTTTTTTTTTAACCAACAAAAAAAAACTTACATTTTGTCAAATGTCATTTTCTTGTAGGCTATTATGGTGAAATACCACCATCTGTTTAACTTTGTATCATTTAGACTGATTAGAAATGATTATCAGTTTATATAAGAAGACTGTTAAGAAATTGATCATTCCTAACAACTTGGTTTTGGCAGGATAAATTTTGAAATATTTGTATCATCATCTCAAACCATAGCTAAAACTTGATGTTATGGCAAAAAAATTAGACCATTTTCAATAAAGTTACAAGCAAATTAAGATTATAAAAACATCGCTTTCGTCCTCTTCGTACTGAATCGAGAATAATTTTACAAGGTTAACAAAATTGATAATATGTGTACAAAAGGAAAAAGAATTCTTGTCATTTTGAAACTGGCGCATGCATCCCTTTACACGCCAGACGGTCACTATCTGTATAGCCTATTTTCTAGAACAGACGATCTGTATGATATTATGAATGAAATTATTGAGTTAGAAGAATGATAAGAGAGAAATCCTACTGGACTAGTTGACATTTAACCATGCTGATATTATCAGGTTATAGTGTAATGTTGTAACTATGGTACTTGTATTCTGGAAACATGCTGTTTACAGATTGTATTTAGCTTTACTACAAATCCATATTGCACCTGGCAGATATATGGCTCTCACGAGAATATCATCTGCAATAGGCTACCAGATTGCATTTAAGAGCATGCAGTATTCTGTTGAATCGTTAAAATCGCAACGTTGCAAGGATGAAATCGACATATAAGAC